GGATTATGGGGTGGCTTGGCAAAGATATTAGAATTGTATTGCCATCCTGTGTTGTAATAAAGATTAGAGAAGAATTTCCTTTTTGAACTTACAGAGGATTTGAATATCCTGATTTCTGATTAATTTTAATAAATATATATTACATTGAAAATCTACTCTGATGTTTCTTAATTGCATCTTCCTTATTTGGGTGCTCATAATTGGCACAAAGTGGAGTTGGCTCTACATTTGTAAGCGATGTGGCTCTGTTAGATTTTTCTAGGTTCTCGATGGCCAGTTGAAATAGTACTTTAACATAATCTATTGTATTAATTGAATGGTTATTATGTTAATATAAATGAATACTGACCATACGTTGGATTATCCATAATTTTTCTTACAATATAACCTCCTTTCTTATATTTAGGATAGGAGATAGAAAATCTATTCTCACCAGACTTGGTTTTGCTTTGAAGTCTCGCACTGTTTTCATTGTAGTGCAGAGCAGCAAGCCTTAGCCTAAATGGTTATTTGTTACGAGAATGTACATGTATCTGATCAACTTTTACCTAGTTAGCATTCCATTGTATGAAAATGAGACTAACTTAGGAGCAAAGTGTAGTACTACGCTATGAAATGCTTCAACCTTAGATGTCTGATAAACTGGAGATAGCTTCTTCACACTATTACAAAACCTTTTATCCACTATAATCTTTGTCAGGTTCTCACTAGGTTTTGTATCTATTTAAAGTTTTTAAGTACACAGATATTTGATGTGAAATAAACTCACGTCTTTTTAGCCATTTCCTGCATCTAGTTATTCGTCTATGTAAACATTTCTTGAAGTGTTTACTACTATGTGAATGCTTATTCTGAATATGGTTGTCCAATGACAACCATTTGGCAAGTATCACATCACTATTGCCACTTGGTGTGGAGACTGCTGACCAGTACAAATGATTAACAATACTTTTAAGCCATTCACCAACAATACCACAGTCTTTCTCTTTCACTAATTTCTCAATTTTTTTTCTGAGAGCTATAAATGTTATATAAGTATACAGCAATTTAGTTACATTTTATCTTACATTTAGCAACATGCCACCCATCATAACAATAGGTTATTTGAGGATACTTTTCACGTATGAATTTTGCAATTCCAGAATGCCTGTCAGTAACAAGTGTACCAACTCTTACTTCAGTATTTTCAAAAAACTTAAAAGTTCTAATAAGACCTTCTTTCTCCATATTAGGACTACCAGATACTTTGTTGCTCTATACGCATGATGTGATATATATGAATCTTAATTATTTTATACCTGTACCAATTCTATACTAACAATCATTTGGCGATTCAAATCCATAGGAGTATAGCTCCCATTTTTTGCCGAATACCCAGGGCTGTCTGCACGTCCATCTCCACCCATGACTATTGGTATACCCATTCGTTCTGTTTCAGCTATGTATAGTGATTGTTTTCGTGTCCATAATGTTGATACAGCTGGTTGCAGGAATTGTCTTTGGTGTTGAAAAAATGTTTGTAGTGAAATTACTTTGATGTTCAAATGGCAAAAGACTTGTAAAGCTTTTGATGGCAGGCTACCACTAAAAAGAATTGATGACGACACCAGTAGGTTAGCCAATGGCATGTTATTAACCATTGGTTGATTTGTCCAGTTAAACATGTGTCCAGCAAATCACATTGTATTCCCACATCTTTGAATGTTACTGCGATTGTGTACCAACTGACAAGCATTGAACAGTAGCTTGAGATCCTAAAAGAACATTTAACTTTAAAATTTTAAAGTATTGTGAACTTACCTTTATGCTTTTTTGATCTCTTTTTCTTTCTGCTTACATGATAATCCCTTTTAGCAACATTATTGGGTTCAAACTCAGTATCTGAAGATGAATCATCAAAGGACAATAAAGTCTGTGTTACGTTAGCATCACCATCGTGTTGACCTTCTTCATTCTCCTCATCATTTGCTGGACTAGATCTATCTTGTTGAACATCAGTGAAAAATGTACCTGTAATCTAGCCAAGAAGTATGATAAAAGATATTTTAAAACAGAAATACCTTTCTTCTCTCTCTTTCTTCATAGCGTTTAATCCTTTTTGAAGATGATGTTGCATTATAAGAAATTGACTGCTTGAGTGGACTTTTAAAAATGCTTGGTACTGCATCTGCCTTCAGTCTTACAAGTTTTTTTAATCCCACACTAGCAGCTATTGCAGAATCAGGCTCAAAGCAGTCAGTAGTAAAATGACAGCTGCACAAGAAAGAATACTATGTAGGTCCAGACCACTTGTCTCTTGTTCTTTTCACTTAATCTGTCCACTTCTTTAAAGATACATCTCTTGGAAAGGTAAACAAGCTCACTCCATCTTTATTTGTGTTTCCACAACCATAAGCTACACATCTCTTTGGCATGATGAACCATGCAGTCTGCAGCTCCAGTTCATCTGATGACATCACATTTGCGCCACGCCCATTTTGTTGCTGAAATGGGAAGAATATGGCTGCCAGCAAAAAATTCGCAATTCAAACAGGTATAATTCACTTCTGGAACGTTTTTTTGATATTATAAGTGCATCAACTGTGTTCATTTCATGCTTAGATGCAATGGTTAAATTATTGAAAAATCATAAAAAATAATCTTAGTTACCCTTTAAGGAATGTCCGTAAATCTCAATCAACTTGCATAGAGTGTAAGAGCAGACATCACACTAGCATCTGCCACAAGACACGAGGTTCTTCTGAACAGACGAATTCTGTAAATTTTCAGGTGAACACATCAGTACTTAATCAAGATGCCCCTCCCTTTTCTCCTCCCTCTCCTATTCCTACAGAGTCTGAATCTTCTCATTCCTCTACTCTTTACATTGAGAATGATCACAATATACTAGTGCAGACTGCACATGCTATAGTGTTCAATCCCAATAATCACAATGATAACACAGAAATTAGAATTATTCTTGACTGTGGTAGTCAACGTTCATACATCACCAATAGTCTTAAGGAAAGGCTCCACATCACACCAGATGGTAGAAAAGCCGTGCTAATATCTACATTTGGCTCTGCCAAGGAGAGTTATCAACTGTGATATTGTAAGATTGGTGTGTGTACTTAAGGTTCTGAAATGAAGTTAAGGTTATTTTCAGTACCACATATATCTGGACCAATATCAGGTGTACCAGTTGAAGTTTACAGAGAACGAAATGAGCACATTAAAGAGCTAGATTTAGCAGACACTTCACAAGGAGAGCCTGAAACATTAATCGGCTCAGACTACTATTCGAAACTGGCTACGGGAGAGAGGATTCATGGTAATGGAGGACCTGTTGCTGTATATACTGAATTGGGTTGGATTTTATCTAATCCAGTCTTCTCCTATAATCAACACTGTACCAATCTTATCACACGTAATGAGAGTAGACTCCGGTCTAACATTGAAGCATCTAGATAAGAGACTCAGGTTGTTCTGGGACCTAGAGTCAATGGGAGTTACTGATACTGAGGATGCGGTTCATGAACAATTCAGTTCCATCGTTGTATTACGTGATGTTTGCTATGAGGTATCACTCCCATTGAGAAATTCCTGAGTATCCATTCCAGATAACTTACAGCTCTGTAAGTCAAGACTGCATAGCCTACTTAAACGATTGAAGCAGACTCCAGACACACTAAAGGAGTATGACAACATTTTCCGGCAACAACTAAAGAATGGAATAGTTGAGGTTGTACAGGATTCACCAACTCAGATTCAAGACAGAGTGCATTATCTGCCACACCATGCGGCGATAAGAAAGGATAAGGAGACCTCAAATGTACATGTCGTGTAGGACGCATCAGCACGAGACGGAGGTCACTCACTTAACGATTGCTTACATACCAGTCCAAAATTCAACCAACGAATATTTGATATACTCCGTTTTCGATGTCATCAAGTAGCCTTAACTGCAGATATTGAAAAGGCCTTGCTGATGATCTCAGTCTCAGAGAGAGACCGGGATGTATTACGCTTTTTATGGGTGAAGGATCCACCTGAGGATTCATCTGATTATTTGGTACTTAGACTTGCAAGGGTTGTTTTTGGGGTATCTTGTAGCCCTTTTCTATTGAATGCTACAGTTGAACACTATTTAGAGCTCCATCAAGAGTCACATAAATCTTTAGTCAATAAGCTAAAAAATCATTTTATGTAGATGATGTTATCACGGGAGCTAGGACTGAGGGAGAAGCTTACTCACTGTACCGAGAATCCAAGCAATTGATGATGAAGGGTGGATTCAATTTATGCAAGTTTACTTCTAATAATACCTCTTTAAGAGAGAGGATTGCTACTAATGGTGTTGCTCCAACCACACAACTTACTCATAATACACTCAAGCAACACTTGGGAAAACAGACATGTTTTACAGGTTTAAGAAAGAAAGGCTCCTAAGACAGGACTGACTAAAAGGCCTGCTGTGAGCGTGTTTGGTAGGTTTTTTGATCCTCTTGGTGTCATAACTCCTGTCACTGTCACATTTAAGGTCCTGATTCAGGACTTGTGTAAAGCAGGAGTGGGGTGGGACAAACCCATTGAGGGTAAATTATTGGAGAGATGGCGGTCGCTCATGTGTGAACTGAGGGATTGCTAGCCCTTCAGTGTCCCATGCTGCTACTGTTTGTCACTAGAAGGTACAGAAATTTAAGAGCTTCATGGATTCTGTAATGGATCCACTGTTGCTTATGCAGCAGTTATATATTTAGTTATTAGGAGTCTTAAGACTTGCGCAGTCAGAATGATTGCTTCTAAGAGCAGAGTTGCTCCAATCCAACAGCAAACCATTCCCAGACTGGAGATGTTGGGAGCTCTTTTGCTCACAACTTATGAAATCAGAAATCAAGAGCCTAGAATTGGAGATTGTTATCAAAGATGTTACTTGCTATACAGATTCAAAGATTACTCTTTATTGGATACAGGGTCTTAATTGTGACTGGAAACTGTTTGCCCAGAACCGTGTGTCAGAGATACAGCGACTGACAAATGCTGAGAGCTGGAAACATTGTCCTGGGAATCAAAATCCAGCAGATATACCCTCAAGAGGTTTGAATCCTTCTGAAATATTGCACAATAATTTTTGGTTGTCTGAAGTTCAGCACACTCTTAAAGTTAATACTTCAACTATTAATACTGTATCTAATATTGTGGATATTAAGAATTACAGCACACTTGATCGATTGTTACATGTCACAATGGTGATACTTATGTTTACTAATAGATTGAAAAAGAAATATGATAATGAGATACAATATTTGCATAGATCAGAAAGATTATGGTTAAAGGAAGTGCAATGCACTTTAATTGATGATAAACAGTTGAAGAAACAACTAGATCTCTTCAGGGACGATACAGGTATTTGAAGGTGTGGTGGCAGACTTGGTGAAACCAATTCTGCATATTCCACCAAATACCCTATAATCCTCCTTCGAGATTATCACTACTCATGGCTAGTTGTTAAGCAAGCCCACAGTCATGTTCTGCACAGTGGTGTAAAGCAGACTCTGACAGAAGTCAGATCAAAGTATTGGCTTATTAAGGCAGAATGTTTGTGAAGAAGGTAATTGCAAGGTGTGTTGTTTGCAGGAGACAAAAATGTCTGGCCTACAAGGCCCCACCTCCTCCTCTTCCCTCATTTCATGTGAATGAACAACCTCCTTTTGCACACACAAGTGTGGATTATGCTGGTTCTTTGTATGTTAGACCAGACTACCCTGTAGGAGCCAAGTCCAGCCAGAAGGTTTAAATCTGTCTAGATACATGTTGTATAATTAGGGTGGTTTCTATAGATATTGTACCTAACCTCTCTTGCCCCTCTTTTTTAGGTCATTTTGTTGTTTAACAGCTTGTAGTCGTATTTCCTATCTAATGATTTCACATAACGAATCTACTTTCGTTTCCGCTGCCAAGACGATCCATAAAATTGTTACTGATCTGTCTGTTGCAAAGTATATGCATGAATCTCATGTAGATTGGCAATTCAATATTGAGAAGGCACCTTGGTGCGGTGGTATCTTCGAGAGGATGATAGGGCTGACAAAGAGATATTTGCAATAGATAATTGGAAGATCGAAACTGACATATGATGAACTGTTAACTGCAGCCACTGAAGTAGAATTAATTCTCAATTCTCGCCCACTCACGTGTGTGTCCTCTAATGATAAAGAAGAGCCACTTACCCCTTCGCAATTAATTGTTGGTAGATGAGTATCCAATCTCCCTGAGGAGTTATGCTATTGTAGGGAAGAAGAGTTCACGAATGAATTTTCGCCGTTATTATTGAATCGCAGGTTAAAATATCTTCACAATGTAATGGACGAATTTTGGTCAAGATGGAGAAATGAATATTTGCTGAATCTTTGAGAGAGGTATCCTAGTGGTCACAATAAATCGTGGCAAAAGGTAATCAAGATTGGACATATTGTTTTTGTCCATAGTGATGAACTGCCATGTAGTTATTGGAGACTTGGTAGAGTTATGGAAGTGATCACAGGTGCTTATAGTAATGTGAGAGGTGGAGTCATTAAAGTACTATCTGGAGAGAAACGTTCTGTGTTATTGAGATGTTCTGTGTTATTAATTCAGAAATTAATTCCATTGGAAATTGATAATTCGAGTGGGAACAATGGCACTC